GAGGGAGCGTCCCTTGGGCCTCTTGCTGCATCTGGGCTCCCTGTCTAAGACAGCCAGGGGTGCTGGAGGAGCTGCCGCAGCTCAAAATAGCCCTGACCCTTCCTCTTGGCTCAAAGCTGCTGCCAGCATCACAAGACTGTGAGGACAGCAGTTCACAAAGCCACCCCCACAGCACGTACACCAGGGGCCTTGGACGGGGAGCGGGGCAGGTAGGTGGGCTTCTGCCAGAGCAGGATTGTTATGGCCCTCAAGGGGGTGGGGACAGGCCTCTGAGGGACTCCAGACAGAGTCCCCCTTTCCAGGCTCAGCTGGGTTCGAGGCCCCTGTCTGCTCAGTAGACAAATCCCAGAGACCTGGAACTCTCCTTCCACCAGCCAACCAGCCTTCTAGACAAAGGCCTGGAAAGCAGCGGGCCGCCCCAGGCCCCCCTAGAGATGCTGGGAGAGGTGCCCAGACACCAGAAGGCAGAATCCAGAGGAGACCTATCAGAAAGGTGACTTTCTGGGATTAAATGTGGAGCCCTGGCATCTGGGGTTCCCTCAAGCAACAGCACCAACCCTGAACAAGGGCTGAGCTTGACGGCAGTTCCCGGAGGGTGGGCTGGGGCAGGGGCTGGGCTGGGCTGGGGCTGGAAGCTGCTCCCATAGAACCCAGGGCTGGGCTGTCTCCACCTTCCTGCCTGATGCAGGAAGTGACAGCCTCACCCTGCTCTCGGTTTACACCAAGAGGGGCATTTGGTTCTGAGGAATTAGTGTGTCTGAAAGAAAACAATCAGACTCTGAAGGGGCCCAGATGCCCCCCTGTCCAGGAACCGTGAAGCATATGGGCTGGGCGGCCTTGGTACACAACACTCAGGCTGTCAGGAGAGGCAGGCGGCCAAACTGCAGCCCCACGGTTGGGGGCACGGTGAGGCCAGGTCCAGTGTTGGCATATGAAGGGCAACTGAGAGTTGTCCGGTCCCCGCAGGGCCTGGGCTGGGGCTCCTGTCAGGTGAACACGGGCGCCCCGGCTGAGCCCCCAATCCTGCTTCTTGTCTCTGGCTTGGTGCAGCAGAGGAAGGGTTTACTGCTAGGAGAAGAGCCCGAAGGCTGGGAAGATGGCCTTCAAAGGGCGAGAGTCTTTAAGGCAAAAAAGCTGACAGGAACTGATTATGGGAGCTGGGGGCAAAGAAGAAACACAGCTCGTAATTCTGGAGACCCCTGGGTGGAGACCACCCACTGGGCTGTGTTCTCCCAGCCCAAACCTAAGATGGGAGCGAAGGCCCAAAGGCCCGCTGTCAGGAGCTGGAGTCAGCTGGTCTGGGGCTGGGGAGAGACGTAAGGTGGGGGTCTAGGAGGACTGGGAAAAGGCCTCACGGACGATCCCGGGGCAGATCCTGTGTCCTCTCAGGGTGCCGCTCAGGGCCCAGGTTCCCTGGGAAGGGGCTCGGAGGCACCAGCCATGGGGGGAATGGATGAAAAGGTCCAGAGGAAGAGAAGAGGGGGTGGTCGGGGGGACACACACGACACACAGGAAGTCTACATGCGGTTTCTCAGGCCCTTCCTGGGAACCTTTCTGGTTCAGTGGGACCTGCCGGCCTGCAGCATTAAAAGCACCCCCGGTGTCTCAACAGAACCACCCGGCCCCTGGCCCGCAAGGGGAGGTGTGACATCTGGACAAGTGGGAGGGGCGGTGCCTGCGCCCTCCGTCAGAGGAGCCACGCTGACCCGGACCGAGGGTGCTGGCGCTGAGCCTGGTTGCTCCTCTTACACAGAGGAACCTGAGTCAGTACCGGCTCCTTGCTGGCGGGTGGGAGAGGTTAGGGGCAAAGAGCCAAGCTGGCCCTGAAAGGGCAGCCTTGTCAAAGGAAGGTGTTCAGAAGTTGCCCGGTGCTGTGGTCACGAGGGCCTTCCCTGCAGAGCGAGAGGGCTCCAGCCCGTATCGGGGGCTGCATCGATTCCACTGCCACCTGCTGACCAGAGGAATACAGGAGGTCGGGAGGGTTTTGTTCAGCTGCTTCCTTTATTAGAAACAAGTGAGATGTACCAAGCAGAACAACAATGCATTTGGCGTTTCTCCCCCCACCCCGGAAATGGATGCCCCTCCCACAACCTGGAGAAAAGCCAAGACAGAAAGGTGAAGCTTCCCACTTCCCTGTTCCCGGATGTGGCACCCTGCCAGCCGGCAGTCAATATTTTTGCACTGAATTGAGTGAAATTTTCCCCACAGCGTCCCTAGGGACGGTCTGTTTGCAGGCCTGCCGTCACCTTGCAGTAGTAAACCACAGCCCTGGCTCTCTGGTTCTGGGGTAGGCGGGCCAGGCCTCAGGAAGGCTGCCCCTGGGTGAGGAGGCACCGGCCAGAAATATGCTCCTGCCCCACCCCCCACCCCGGCCTGGCACCACCCTCTCCCGGGCTGTAGCTCTGTGAAGCTATCCAGGCCTTTGGGTCATCTTTGGGCAAAGAATTCAAGACACCCACCCTGGGCTTCAGCAAGTATGTGACGGCAGTTAGAAGGGAGCTGCAGCAAGGCCTGAAATTTTCCATAAATTTTCCATAAACCGAGGTGTTGAAGTGGCTTGGTGTGGGCCGGCCTTCAAACCAGACGTCCGCATCTTTGGAAGTGGGCACGTGCGGGGGAAACGAGCCCTATGTAGTTGACCTCAGTCCAGAGCTGAGGCCTCCTTTCTCCCCAGCTCTCTCCTTACAGAGTGAGGAGGCCGTGGGAATGTGCCACAGGGTCAGGGGTCAAATGCAGAGTCAATCCAAAGGTAGGAGTGAACATCTGGAACATGGAGTCCGAGAGCCCAGCGCTGTAGGCAGAGGTTAAGGGCCACACCCGGGAAGCCCACCAAGAGTAGCTGCCCAAGGCAGGTCCCCACGGATGAGTATGGAGGCCCCGGGGCCTTATCCCTCGTTGGGTTCAAGCGAGCCACGGGCCCACCATCCTGCAAGGCCCCAAACCCCAAGCACTGGTTCTCTCTGAGCTCTCTGACCTGAAGTCCTGGAACGAGTTGCGTGAAGAATCCAGGGACTGTTTGGGCAAAAAGGAGACTAACAGCAGCCACCGAGCCGACTCCCGCAGACCTGGGCGGCGGCGGCGCTGAAGGCGGCAGGGTCCCTACCAGGAGACAATGGCAGAGTCCAAGGAGCAGTCGCAGGGTTTTGGAGGGAGACACTGGGACCTCTCCAGGAAATCTGTTTCTTCCAGAGCAGGCACGGGCCTCACAGTTTCCATTCCATGACTTCAGTCACCAAGGCAAAGCTCACTCCCGGTGCTGTCGTGCACCTCAAATTTCAGAGGCAGCTCAGGCTGGGACCTGGCCCCGAGCTGACCAAGCCTGTGACAGGGAGCTTTTCCAAGTTCCAGGTCCTGCCCAAGGTGGGAGAGTTGGGCACTCTGTTCTTTGACATCCTTAGAAGCCTGCACAGGGCGAGCTGCTCTGGGCCTTGGGGTGCTGTGTGTCCGATGGCTGTGGCGCGAGCCCTGCCTCTCCGACTCCCACCGTCCGTGGAATGCAGTGCACACCTTGCTAAGAACAGCAGCTTCTTTGGTCTGGGCATCTCAGAGTCAAGGAGTCAAAGGTCAGCCATGATCACTGCCTGCAGTTTGCAGCACAGGGATGACAAGGAGAAGGGAGGCCCCTAGAGGCCTCTGATGAAAAGCCAATCAGTGGAGTTGCTGGCTCCAGCAGCCATCTGCGGGAAGCTGGCAGCACCCCTGCGTGTGCAGGGGCAGAACAGCCCCATCCCAAGCACACGATTCCCTCCAGCTCTGGGGACCCTGCAGAATCAGCCTCTGGCATATCTCACCAAAACCCACAGCCTGCAACACAGCCCTACAGGCCTGCGAGCTAAGGCTTCCTTCCCTCTACAAGTAGCTGAGAGGTGAAAGCAGCCAGGTGAAAGCACCCCACCCCACACCATTTACTTCCTCCTAGAGCAAAACTTACAAACAAGCCTGGACATGGGTTGCTGCTGACAATTCACAGCCCAATCCTCCCCGAGCCACTTGGCTGAGCACAACTGAGGAATGCCTACACGACAGCCATGCGACCAGAGGCTCCATTATTCTGGGGGCCACCGGCAGCATCAGCAACCATCACCACCACAAAAATCCACAAAACACCATCAGTGAAAATCAGACTCAGACAACGACAACGGGAAATCATTTCTGTCGCCAAGTCCAGATCAGCGTCTAGCCACCACTCCTTGCCGCTACTCGCGGGCTGTGTGTCTTGGAAAGGAGCAAGAGAGATGGCTAATGGGTTGGAAGGCACAGGCCAAGGGCTGGTGGCTGGAGGTCTGGGTATCATCGGCCCCACGCCATCCTTGCCCAACCACCCCGGGGGCATCAGGGTCCTCCTGGCTCTTTGCTCTAAGATGAGCTAAGCAGGATTTGCGCTGATGTGGTCTCCACAACGATCCAGGTGCTACAAGGAGGTCAAAGGTCCCCTTCAAACTGCCAGTCACCCCAGGCAGTGTAAAAACATCATCTCACAGGGGACTGATCCCCGTAACATAACGGTTGGCAACAGCTGGCTAATGAGCCCTGATTTAAAACTCAGTTGGCAGGATGACTTCCTACAGGGAGCAGGCCAAGAGGATTGCAAGAGGGACTTGATTCATGAAACCCGCTTCCACAGCTCATCCCCGCTGCCCAGGTTCAGGATGCAGAAAAGGCGCGGCCCCTGCAGGAAAAGCTCCGAGTTGAGTCAGCCCCAGCCAGGACTCCACCTGCCGTTCTAAGAGAGCCGAGCTCTCCCCAAAGCTTGCACAGCCCTTCCACCCCAGCCCGCCTTCTCGAAGCAGTATTCCAGCTGATTCAGAGGGGAACTGGATAATATTCCCCACATCCTCTTTCTCCTGCTCCCCCAAGAAAAGTCAATGCCTGCTTTCAGAAGGAAACAATTCACTGTACCAACGTTTGTCTGGCACTGGCCTGAGATTCTAATTTTGAGGAATGATCTGGATTCAGTTTTTCATTAGAGACCAAACACCCTTGTACATTTGGAACATGAAAGATATTTAAAATCTTTATATATATATATAATATATATATACGTTTATTATCCACCCGTTAACTCCACGATGCACCAATCGCGAGCTAGTCTTCAGCAGTTACACTCCCTCGGTCACGGCTGCATAACGAAAACAAGGACACCAGAGACACGGCCAGAGGTGACACCACGCAGCCTGCGCCACTGCAATACAGTCACCAAGTCCAGTGGCGGTTTGTAAAGCCAGTTCAGTTCTGGTCCCTTTGCCAGGGATTCTCTCACGTTTGTGAAAACTGGACCAACAAGTGGTGGGGCTCCATTTCCTGGTTTGAATTCTCAGTGGCTTTATCCAGAATCTCACCGGCAACTGGTTACTGTAACACCAGCCCAACCTAGGAGAGCCAAGGGGGGAGAGGCAGAGTTGAGGTGGCAGCTGTCCAAAGCCTCTCCCACTCCCCCGCCCAGTCCTGCAGTCCCAATGGCCGGTGGAGCCTGCAGAGCGCCACCGTGCTCAGTGAGCAGGCTCACAGCGCGCCCGGGGCTCTCACCCGACCTCCTCCGATGCTTTATACACCAGATCTTTTAATGAAAGCAGCTGTGGCAGCCTGAGGACTACTGGGCACAAGGCTGCCCTCACCTGTCAGTCATCCGGTAAACGCCAGCTACCCCCATGGCCCTGAGCCGCCTTCTGGAGCTGGCGGAGGAGGGAGGGCCACGCTGGGATAAGGGCAGCAGCCCAGCAGAGGAAAACCCGCTCAGGGCCTCAGACTCTCCCTTCCTGCCTGACCGGGGGCACGCGACTCGCACAGTGTCCTGGGACGGTCCTGAAGCCCTGCCCCCAGTTGGATGCGGCAGCTCACCGGGTGGGAGGAGAGGCTGGAGACAACCTTCCTGCTTCTGCGCGGCTCTAGGGCCCACACGCCCTCTGCCACCCTCACATCACCCTCCTAGTCTGGCCACCAGAGGGAGGGACTTTTCAAGGGTCCAGACTGATGCTGGATCCCAGACCCGAGGTCCTGGTTCCGTTGGAGACGCCAATTCCCTGACCCACACAGGCCCAGCCGTGGGCCTGACCGCGAGGGAGCTCGGTGGGAGGCGGCACCTAGCGCGTACGTACCTTCTCTGCCCCCATGCTGGGGCACTTCCAATTGTAAAGGTAATACTGTAGGTTGCCGTCCCCTATGCCAAACTTGAGCTTCTCCAGGAAGGTTTTGTTCTCCATGAGATCCAGTGCATTGAATACGTCAAACCCTTTCTGCATGGCAGCAGGGAGAGACAAGAACAGGTGAAGACAGGTGAAAGCTACCTCACCTTCCTGCCCTTTTCTATCATATCAAAACCATCCACAGGCGGCCAGGGGAGCAATCTTCCTTCAGAAGCTCCTGCTGCTTCCATGTTACATCCAGACTGCGGCCAGCACCCCGCTCCCTGGGGGTGGTTCTTACGATGCTCTGAGCACCCTGCCCGGCCTCTCCTCGGCGTGCGCCTCCGTACACACCTGTGTACTCAGTGTCCAGGCCACCGCTCCCACTGTTCCTTGTTACACTTCCCTGAAACACTCTCGTAATTTCCACAGCCCTCTCTGGAGACCAAGCCCTGAACCTTTTCCTCTGAAAAGCTGACTCCCATGAGCCACTGGGCATTTGCACTGCTCCCTCACTCCCTGGCATTCCAACTCCGAGGCCTCTGTGCACCGAGGGATTTTACGACATTTGATATGCTGCTTTGAGGCTGCAACAGACACTTCCTAAATCTCACCAACTTGATCAGAAGCTCTCCCAGGGCAGCGACTGGCCTGTCATTGTTCAGCTGGCACACAGTGGGCTGGGCCAGGCGCAGGCAGAACCCATGGGGCAGGACTGCCTGGAGACCTCTCCAGTGTAAGAGAAGCCCAGGCCCCTGCCCCCATGCTCTACTGTCAGCCGCTCCAATGACTCACCACAACAGACACCAATCTCCCCATTCCCACACTGGGGAGGTGGTAAGGAGAACACCTCTACTCCCCGAGCAGGCCTGGCTATTCAGGCTCCTTGGCAGTGCCTACCGTGAGAACAAAACTCACTGAAATAAATCAGAAGGAGTTCAATGCCTTCACTTAGTGTAGGCGCTCCTTGCTCCTTCCTAGTTTTGAGCTGCTGGCTGAAAAGTGCTAGGCTGGTGGAGCACGAGGGGGAGGAGGCCTCAAAGCCCCCAGCCTGTGGGCAGCTACCTGCGAGCTGTGCTCACCACCGCCCCACGGCCCCTTCCCTCTGATCTGCTGCTCACCATTTTGGCGAGAACGAGGGCGTCGCTCATGAGGTCTAGAAGAGGGGTCTGGGTGTGAACGTTGTAGAAAGAATAAGCAGCCTTTAGACTCTTGTGGGTCGGGTGATTCATGATGGTGGACGGAAGTGTATAAAAGCTCAGGAAATCGGTCACCTCACCGTTTGCATTCTGAAGGGCAGACAATAGGAAGAAGGCAGTGTCACATGGGCACAGGGTTCCTGCAACCTGGGAATAAAATGTTTTCTACTGCACTCCACCACCCTCAGGCAGCTCTGCCGCTCTAGATGAATGGGTGGAAACTGAAACAGGATATGCACGGAGGAGAAAACACATGGCTGGGGCAACTTGAGGACAGAGCTGGAAGGAAAATCCAGGGGGGGCTATGGGCTGAACCTGCCATGATCCTTCCCCGCCTGTGGTGCCAGGGTCTTCTCACAGCTCCCAGGACCCAGCACACCTGGCCGGCACCAGACCAAGTGGGGACAGGCCAGGGAGTCGAAGGCTCACCTGACCGAGAGGGGCTCAGCTCTCTCTACTGGGAGTCACCAGTGGGGGTGGGGGAGGGGGAGAGGAAGGGCTCACACCAGGTCCCCAAGGGCTCATCTTAGCCAACGCAAGCTACAACTTCCTGTCTTTAGTGGGGACCAAGCACGGATGGTCAAGGAAGTCTAGGGTGCCAACACTCCCATCAATCGCTCTTCAGTCACCGAGGCTGGGGACTCCAGCCACTTAGGGAGGACGCCTCCCCGCCAACGGGGCAGAGGCCCAGAACACCCCCCCCCCACTCACCTCCACCACAAAAGTGTCGATGATATTCTCCTGGGGGTAGAACCAGTGTTCCACCTCCTCTTGGCTCATGACTGGCGTGAGGTGAAACTGCTTCAGGTACTGGGTGAGGAGCTTGTGCACTACTGCAATGTCCTTTTTTTCCATTGGTCGCAGCCCAGCTGTCTTGGGAGTCTGGAAGAAAGAACCAGAGAGCATCAGATGTGCTGACCGTGAGCACCTTGGCTCCCTCTCAAGTCCTACATGAACCAAAAACCTCACACTGTCTCCCTTCCTACCCCGACCCTGAGTCTATCCACCCAGGCCCTCAAGAGAGACTCCTCAGTTATCCCAGGCAGCTCCCTCTCACCCACTGTCCACATCCACTCCGGCACAAGTCCTGCCCCTGCAGTGTCTTTGGCCCTTTCCCTCGTGGTTAAGGCTGCCATCCTTGACTAAGGCTGCGTCAATCTCTTATCCACGTGGCCCAGGCCGGCTTCCTAAGAAAACACAGCCCGTCACACCCCTCCCTGTTCCAAACTCCCTAACACAGAACACAAGACCTTCCACCCTCGGGACCAGTGGCTGTTCTGGCTGTGATCTTCTGTCTCTCTAGCCCAGTGGCTCTCAACAGGAGCAATTTTGTCCCCAGGGGACATTTGACAATATTCAGAGACATTTTTGGTTGTCACAACTAGAGGGAGGGGTGCTATGGCATCTAGTGGGTAGAAGCCAGGGATGCTGCTAAACATCCTACAACGCACAGGACGGTCTCCGTGATGAAGAATTACCCAACCCAGGGACTTCCCTGGTGGCGCAGTGGTTAAGAATCTGCCTACCAATGCAGGGGACACGGGTTCGAGCCCTGGTGCGGGAAGATCCCACATGCCGCGAAGCAGCCGAGCCCGTGGGCCACGACTACCGAGCCTGCGCTCTGGAGCCCGTGGGCCACGACTACCGAGCCTGCGCTCTGGAGCCCGTGAGCCACAACTACTGAAGCCCACGCACCTAGAGCCCGTGCACCACAGCAAGAGAAGCCACCGCAATGAGAAGCCTGCGCACCGCAATGAAGAGTAGCCCCTGCTCGCTGCAACTAAAGAAAGCCCGCATGCAGCAACGAAAACCCAACGCAGCCAAAAATAAATAAATAAATTTATTTATTTATTAAAAAAAAAAAAAAAATTACCCAACCCAAAATGTCAATGGTGCCATGACGGAGAAACCCTGACCACCCCATGTATGTGCTGGGGTAGGCCCAGCCCGGTGCTACGCCTGGGCCTCAGTAAAGCCTTTCTTGGCCCCTCTCCTCCGAGCCTCACAACCTTTTCCCACTGAACTGCAACTCATCTCTTCCTACACCGCTCACTCTCCTATAGACTTAGAGCACTTCACAGACAGCCTCCCAGCCACAGGCAACATGGAAGCCCGGGCCTGGCAGAGCCTACACTGGATGCCCGCCTTGCCTATCCACTTGGACACCACTACCCCAGTACTGCCCCTGGCAGGACACTGCTGCAAGTAAAATTCAGAAGAAAAGCACAGAACTCCCAGGATTTACTCTCATGCCAGAATCCCACCCCACAGCTGCTTCTCCTTAGAAAATGCTTCAGTGGAATGAACCCATGTGATGCTCCGGAGTAAATACTGGGGCTGAGGGAACATTCCCAAAGGCTTAATACACAAAGGTGGGGTCAGCCGAATCTGAAATCAGGGTAGAGTTAGTTTATATACCTCAGTCACTGCCTGACACAACTGCTTCCTAATGCAGGAATTGCTGCTGCTTTTTTTTTTTTTTTTTT